AAAATCACTATATCAGGAGCAAATCATGATCTGGTGGACACAAAAACTGGGACATGCATAAGTAAATGGCTCAGATATACCCCCATCTCGACACCATAACTGAATTTCTGGTAGAATGACCATGAACATCTTATATTTGTGAACGGAGGGAGTAACAGTTAGCCGCTAAACTGGTTATTTACACAAGCCATCCTAGTTTAGCACCAACTGAATAAATTCAGGTGTTAGATAAAAGCAATTACAGGGAAGCTATATCATCACAGCCATTCATGAACATGACATGAAGGAAACCGTAATCTTGACACCTGAACTTGCCCTATAGTACAAACTGATAAGTAGATGAAGAGTATAGTAGAAGAAAGACATTATCAAAAGTCAAATAGCAATTGAAACAAGCAGTCTGGCGAACCCAATAAGATGATCTAAAATAAACTATCCAAGGGACAACAGAATTATCACAGCCATTCAAGGAAAAGTAAAAACAGAAAAAGAAAAAGCCTGAACGCCCCAAACTGTTCCCACCATGGACAACAAAATCATGAGAAGGCAAACCAAACACCACGAGAGGTGATCTGTGCGTAGCTGCTCCTACTGAGATGGCAAATGCCACAACCACGACAATTCATCACTTTTAAACATAAAAAGGGGATAGGAATAAATAAATGTATAGAGGCCACGATATTAGTTGCATTGAGATTTGAGAGGGCTCAGATTCGTCTTTGTTAGATCAACAACCTAGCTCCACTGTCTTCTTGCACCAGATCAATCCCCATCATTGAAGTCGAGGTCCTCTGGTTATCACTCAACAGAATGACCATCCAAGAGAGAGTCATCAATATTCAGTGAGAATGAAAAGGTTCCAAAAGAGGGGGCAGTGGGTTTTTTATGCTCACAGCTCCTCAAAGAATCGAAGACAAGCTTATGTCAGCCATGTTTTATCATCATCGCCCCGGATAAGTTTCCAACATGGTTCAGTTTGTGCTGAACTTTTCCAAATAAGTCAAAACAGTGATTTAGGCCGCAACATGACCATAGTATCCATACCATTGATTACGAGTCGAAGGACTAGTCGAGACTAGTCGATGGACTAGTCTATGAGTCGCAACTGTGGTGTCGACTGCGAATCTCGTGTAGACTAATCCGATGAGTCGAGCGGTCGAGAGACTAGTCTACGACTAGTCTGGACTAGTCCTGCTGTCTGAGTCGCTCGACTCAAATTTGGGAGGGGGAAATTGGAGAGCGAGCTATGAGAACGAGCCGCCTGGACGAGGCCACCACCAGCACCCACTGACCCGCCGCCGGGACGGCGGATGGCGAAGCAAGGCGCGGCAGCCGGCCGGAGCTCGTGCTCGGGCGGCGGCCATGGCCGTGCCCCGTAGGCGCGTGTGGC